AGCTCGAGGTTACCATTGCTGATTCTTAGAGTTGCCTTACTTTTATTTACGTTTCTATGTTTTGTTGACATTTTGTTATGCTGCCCTAATGGAAGTTTAGAAGTTACTTTTTTATGTTGAATGTCTCCCACTAATGGGCTCTAGTCTTGTACCACAGTTATCATACAAGTTTTGCTATTTATATACTTTTGAGTTGAAATGACTTATTTGACAAAACGACCTATTAATTTACATGTTTGAATGTCCAGTTGTTATACTGTATAATAAACATTCATGTCATATGTCACGAACGTGATTTCATGAAACAATATCTTCGGAAAGTATTCCATGGTTTTCTCTGTTTGCACGCATCATAAACATGATACCTTTTGATAAAAAAAATAAGGTTATCAAAACATGGCTATTTCACTTGTACATGGATGATAAAATCTGTCTTTCGGTGCTTCATTGATATTTGTTTTATTAAACTTTTACAACCAACCTATTAAGTAGACAACTACCCCGGTAGCACGTGCATTGCACGTGCGTCTGACTAGTCTTCTTGATAAAAGACGGATGCTATTTTTAAATCTACTGAATATTCTAGAAAAATAGATCAAAACTACTGTCATCTCACATTTGCGTTATTATAGCGAGATATGGATCAACTTGATCAGAAAATTCTTCCAAATTCACTATATTCAAAAGAGGAAATTGCAAAAACATGTCCATTTTCACGTAGTCATTTGCCAAAATGTCTAATAATTGTTCAATGTCCATTTTAGTATAATTTAGACCAAAATGCCCTCATAAGCAATTTTAAATTCCACAGTGACGACAAAATTATTCATATAATTAAAAATTGTATTGGTCATAATAACTTAACACATAACTTATACTAATTTTAAAAAGTTACATTTCAATCATGCATTAAATGCACACTTCTCTCTATAATTGGGTAAATAATATATTTATAAAATATCAAGAATTACACTTAAAATTGTCAAAAACTTTATGAAACGTAAAGAACTTTCATGTTCAGAACGAAATCTCGTTCTTGACAAAGGAAGTGCCAAGATAAATATGGTCCAAATGTCGATAACAATTTTTAAAATGTCGAGAACGTCATGAGATGTCAAAAACAACAGCTATTAAACACAATTTATCAACGAAAACAAGATTTCAAAGAAAAATTACCTTCTACTGTGAATTGTAGAAAGCCTAATCAATTCGCAAATTTAGATGAGATTAAATTTCTCGAAATGAAATTATATGATTTTCTTATGAATTGGAAGCATATAATTATTTTTTAGTGTTAATAACTTTTCTACTTCATCTTCTTCATTTTTTTCTCAAAATCGTTGGTCAATTACCTAATAGATAATGAAAGCAACTAAATTCAGTATGTATTTGCTAGCATTAATGTTGCTTCTCGTGGAAGCTACTTGTTCTTCTCAAAATTTGTGACAAATTGAGAAAAAATTGCTTCATTTTTCATTAAGGGTATTATATATAATTTGGTACCAAATTTGACCATTTTTGCAAGAGTTATAAAAATTGTATACTTTTCAATTGATAATCGTGGAAATTGGACATTTTTGTAAATTCCCCTATTCAAAATGTTGTGAAACCTAAAACCATCGTAACCGATCTTGCGATCACATCAAATTCGTAGAAATCTTATTTCACGTTCTTCTGGACTAGAAATTGGCTATTGAAAATAAAAGAAGGTAAACCTGCTGGAATAGGCAGGGAAGAAGATGAACATTTTATTCAATCAACTTGAGATTACAATGCATACAAGAGGAGTATTTATAGAGTAAAATGGCTAACTAATCTATCAACTAAACTAACTAACTAACTAATATGATAACTAAATCACAGCTGGAAGCATGTGCTGGAGAAGATGGACGAACAGGATCAGCTCAGGTTTGGATTAGGATCCGTGTGATGTGTTTCTTTATTCTAA